CTCCTGTCGCCGTCGCCCGTCGGGACTGTGTGTCTGTGTCCCCGTCTTCGCCCCTTCAGCCCGCCCCCAAAAACCAGCCGCGATGTACTGCGTCCAGCTCTGGGACCCCAGCATAGGAAGGACATGGACGTGCTGGAGCGGGGCCAGAGCAGGGCCACGAAGATGATCCGAGGGCTGGAGCCCCTCTCCTCCGAGGACAGGCGGAGGGAGCTGGGGCTGTTCAGCCTGGAGAAGCAAAGGCTCCGGGGTGACCTTAGAGCAGCCTTCCAGTGCCTGAAGGGGCATATAGGAAGGGTGGAGAGGGACTTTTCACAAGGGTGTGTAGTGATAGGACAAGGGGGAATGGCTCTAAACCAAAAGCGGGCAGATTTAGATTAGACATTAGGAAGAAGTTCTTCACCATGAGGGTGGTGAAACACTGGCACAGGTTGCCCAGAGAAGCTGTGGCTGCCCCCTCCCTGGCAGTGTTCAAGGCCAGGTTGGATGGAGCTCTGAGCACCCTGGTCTAGTGGAAGATGTCCCTGCTCGTGGCAGGGGGGTTGGAACTAGATGCTCTTTAAGGTCCCTTCCAACCCAAACCGTTCTGTGATTCTATGCTGAACACTCCGGGGGTGCTCAGGGTGGAGTGGGAAGTGTGGGGGGGGCTTTAGTCTGGTTTGTTTGAGACAGACTCAGAGTGTGTATGAAATCTGCTTAATGTGGTAAAATATAAAGGGAATTTGCAAAGGCTGATAAAGCAGGAGCCATCCTTGATGTATGTTTAGTGGCAACTGGAATTTTCTGTTATTTTTGATGTTTGGGTTGTACCTAGCCTCATTCCTTGCTTTAAATCCAAATTTGTTTAAGATGTTTGACATAACGTTTCGGGGCCAACCCGTTCCCTCCAGGGCACGGGCAGAGCGCTGCAGACCGAGATGCCAAATGTGCTCTTTCTGCTCCCCCACCCCCAGACGTAGACTTACTGGTGAAACTACTGGAATAAACAGGGTTTTTGTTCCCTTACATATGTGACTTAAAGCTATATTTTAAAGTCAATGAATATCTCCCAAGAAGCAGCATCCATTCTGACTTCCCTGGAAACTCTTGAGAGGAATTTGGGAAGGAGAGATGTCTGGCAGGCCACCCCCGGAAGGTGCGTAGAAGAAGGAGCCTCCCCAGGTGCTGGGTTATTCCCCTGCAGAGCTGACCGGTCGCTGCCAGCCTGACGACGTTCACCAGCCCGCTTGGGCTGGAGCTGGGCGCCTGGGGTTGCTCTGGCCTCCCAGAGGGCTCGGCAGTGTGCAGCACCGAGGTTTGACCGCTCCTGGCGAGTGCGACTTCCACCCACTTGGGAAGTCCGGCAGTGCTAAAAAATAGAACTGCTAATTGGCTAATTTATGCAAGCGTACACTCATTTTTCTAAGCTGAGCAAACCCATGGATGTTGTGACTGCTGTTTTGCGTGGGTATCAGCTGCTTTCCAGCATTTTGTAGCAGAGACCTGTGTCTGGCTCAGTGTGTTTTCATTTGATTATTAATGTCGGGAGAGAGCTGGTCCTGGAAATTGCAGAGTCTGAGAAGAGAGTTGGAATAGTTAAAGTAAAGAAAAAAAAAAAAAAAAAAAATCATAATTCTTCTAATACCAAAAATAATGAATACATGCTTAATAGGTTAGGAGTTAACTCATCATAATAGACCTGTCAGTTTGTCATCAGCTACAAGCATAATAAAGTCAGTCAGTAAAGGTTTAGATTAATAAAGGTTTACAGCAGAATAATATAATTACAATTAACAGAAGGATTGTTAGGGGAATAAATAGCACTTGTCAGGTGTCACATACTTAGACTACAGTTTTATTTGGTAGTGGTTGTCGTTCTGCAGTGTAGTGCTCTTAAATGGCTGTATGGCTTGCTACAGCATCTCGTTTGTTGAGACAGTACCACGTTTTTACTAAGAAACTGGTATGATTCTTCCAGAGTAGATTGCAAAGGGATAAATGATGACCCCTGTAACTACGAAAGAGTGAATATCCAGCGGAGTTCTGGCTAGACTTTGTAGCATCAAGATTTTTAGCTTTATATTTATTTTTTCCGAGATGTAAGAAAAACTATAAACACTATTAATAAACTATCCTCAACTATGAAATACTAAGTGATGAATTACATTAACTAATAACTAACTAATAAAAAAGGCAAAAATGCTGTTGATTACTACAGGTTCACAGGTGACAGAGTAGCTAGCAGTGCCTGGTGACTGCAGCAGCGTTGCCGTGGGCGGCTGAAGCTGGTGCTGCTGCCCGCAGGAGCTGTGTTGCTTGTTGTGCCCCCTCCCTTGTGCCAGTGTAAGTGGGAGACGGCTTTTTGTCTCACGGCTGGCTGGTTCATCCTTGGTAATTATTCCTGCATCAGCAGTTGAGGCAGTGATGAAAGCTGAAGGAGACAACAGAGTCAGTGGAAACAGGTAAAGGGGTTGCACCGGGCTGAGCAATCTGTCCCACCGCAGAGAAGGGCAAGGGGCGGCGTGAGCTCCGTTAATAGAACTGCGGGGTGGCTGGGAGTCTGATGGAGGGCAGTTCCTCTACCAGTCAGTGGTATTTACAACATTACCTAGCACACTGCCTTTCCTCTGTTCTCCGGGGACTTAAAATACCTCTGGGCTAAACCTGTTTTTATTGAGTTTTTCATCCAACCTGTTCCACCGTGGGGCAGCCCCCTACCCACAGACAACCACGGCGTCACGGTGCCGGCATCTCTGTGGTCTCTCTCTGCACCAGTGGGAGGCTGTGTTCAGCTGCGGGATCGGCAGTTTCAGCCGTAGCCTGTGTTCGGCTCTGGGAGAGGGAAGGAGAACCAGCAGAGCCTCAGGCCAGCAGCCTCCAGAACGGGGTTGGAGGATCTCTCTCCTGCTCCCTCTGCTCCCTGTCCGAAACGGCGCTTGAGAACTGCTCAGAAAGCTGTTCAGGGCAGCGCGTGCTGCAGCCTGCTCTTGGCTGGTGTGAGTCTGAGCGACAGGTGGGGTCTTCAGAGGCCGAAAGGCAACTCATTAGATCTTTGCTCTTGCACACGTGTTAAACTTATCAAAACATCAGTGGTGATACGCAAGGATGCACGAGGGTCATTTGAAGTGGGGAGGCTATGTGTGTGTCGTTGGGCTCTGATGTCTGAAACTTTGTTGTAAAGATTGTTTATTTTTGTCACAAGTTCCTCTGGCAGAAGGCCACATTTGTGCCTTACTTGGTCCAGAGCTGCCACGTGACAGCTCACTCACCTGACGCAGAGACCGTCGTTCGAGGACGGTGTTCGAAGGGCAGCTGTCAGTGAACTTCATACATTTCTTTCATTCTGGGTGCCACATGGAGTGCTTTCACCTTCTGCTTCCTGAAGCTTTTATTTTTTGGTGCCCCCCCCCCTTTTTTTTTAACAGAAATGATGTTTTGTTAATTGACGGAAGTTCTTTAAACACACGTAAGTGACTCCCAATAGAGCTTGTTTGATAGAAATCGTTCATTGCAGCTTTCAGACTTCACTTCTGTGGATCTTGTTTAAATAATCCTAGCTTCTGTACATGGAGACACGGGAGAGCCTCTCAGGTTCGCCTTCTGCCTTCCTCGGGTTGTGACCAGGATCTGAGAGGAGGCTGCGGTTAAGACATGTGCATTTGATGAGTTCTGTCGGGCCCTGGCGCTGCGGGCGCAGCGTGGCTGCCGCTCGCACCAGTGAACGGGCGGTGGGTGGTAGGTGAACAGGAGACCCTCTCTCCGCAGAGGTGCAGCCTGCGCGGGACGGGCTAAACCCCGTTTCTGCAAACGCATCACCTGAAAGCAGAGAATGTCGTTTGCTGAAGGGATGTTGCACCTCGTCTAACCTAACTCTGATCGATAAGAAAGAAATATCATAAGATTTTAAAGTGGAGAAAGAAAAGTTGCTTTTCCTCTGACTGTGCGAGTCGTTTGGCAGCGCTGCACAGTGTCTTTGGGGCCAGCTGTGTGCAGTGCTGTTCCGTTGCTCGTCGTCTGGTTGTTGCTGTTTTTTCTAAGCCACCACATCAGTGTGCTCTCCAGACCATCTTGTCCCTCTGTAGCACCCGTGGCCACCCCTTTTCCTTTCTCACACGGCTCAAACTGAAAACATCCCATTACCAGCTCGCGCGCGATCTCTGCTGCGTCCTCCCTCCTGCCGCCGCGGCGTGGCTGGCCCCGCGGCACGGGGCTTTGCCCGCCG